TTCTTTGGTTGTCACACCAAAAACCTTCCCAAAACGTTATGAATTTTATGATAATGAAACAACAATGGGAAAGTATATCCTTTGGTGAGTGAAAGTTAACAAAAGCAAGAAAAAGGATATCATTTGGTGAGTAAAAGTTAACAAAAGCAAGAAAAAGGATGATAATATACTACATTTGATTATCTTATTAACTATAATATACATCATGAACAAATATGTATTAAATCATTATAAACAAAAACAAAACCATAAATGTGAAAAAACGAAAATAAATTCCAAATTTCTACCCTATGATACGTTTCTTTAAGCAACAAATGGATTAGATGTAATTAACATCAAAGTAGTATGGGATACTATACTCTCTATTCATCTATGTCACATTGGTTATAGACAAAGTACATAAACACAAATAAAAACCAATCAACTCATATCTCTGTTCTATCGACACCAACAAGGAAATCAGAATAATAAAGATGCGATTGCATGACAACCTCAACAAACACAGAAACAACAAACACATCCATTCTTAGACCTATTTATTCGATGACAATATCAAGAAAGAAAAGAAAGTTAAGCATATGATCACCTCTCATCTTTCTTGTTGAAGAAAAGTATTCGCCACCCGCCGCTTTGCGCGGGTAGACGGCTAGTGTGTGTGTGTATATATATATATATATATATATATATATATATATATATAATATATATATATATATATATATATTAAATCTAAAGGACCTTAGGAATAGTAACTTTTGTGTTTTTAAGTTTTTGTCACAAATCTTTGGTGAATTTGACACTTTTCATCTTTGAAGTGAAAACTTTTACATTTTTGCGTTTTGATTAACTTTTTGTGTCTTTAGGTTTTTGCCACAAATCTTTAGCGACTTTGACATTTTTCATCCTTACAGTAGAAAATTTTACATTTTGGTGTTCTTGCCACAAATATTTAGTGACTTTGACACTTTTCGTCCATGCAGTAAAAACTTTTACATATTGACAAAAAAAAACACAAAAAACCTTCTTTAGACTTTTGTCACATATTTTCCCAACTTGGGCAACTTTTACATTATTGCCACAACATTTTTGGAATTTCTCCACCGATGTCCCTTCTTTTGGTTGTTGTACATTTTTGGCATCTAATTTTAGGGGTTGTCAACTTTCTCCCCTATTTGTGGCGATTTACACATTCAACACATATCTTTTAAATTTGTCCATTTTTCCCATATTACCCCAAAAGCGGCGTAACCGCGGGTTTTTTACTAGTTATTATTATTTTTAAGTAAGTTAAATAATATTATTAAAAATATTTTTTAGAGTCCTCCCTATCATTTTTCCCCATTTGTACCATCCTTACATTGTTTTTGTTGTGATTTTTATACATGTTATATATAAAAAATCATATTGTCACCATCTATGTTTTTATTTTTATTTTTTTTATTTTTCAAAATTATTTATATTATTTTGTAAATTATTTAATCAATCGGACCACACCTCAACCTTACCACAAGGACAATATGAGTGAAAAAAGGTGTGAACACTAATAACTCGTGGTGGAATGTATGCAATCAAGACATAAGGTACAATCAATCGTAAAGATAAAGATACAAAAAGAAAAATAAAAAGTTTCCCTCTTCAACTAAAGATGTGTCATGTGTCATGTGTGAAGTACGACCGAAATCTAGAATCCACGAGTCAATAGTAGTGCATGTATAAAAAAAGAGAAATTACATGATTGTGCTAGATAATCGGTGTGAAGACGACGACCAAAATTTTGTTGGTTAAATCTAGACATATATAAAAAAGACCAGTCTCGGACGACTGGATCCAAAAAAGACAAGACGGGACTAGTCTAAAACAAGACCGGATCGAAAAATACTTGACCGAAAAAAGACCAGTCCAAAGAAAAAAAGGACTGTTTCGAGACCGGTCCCAAAATAGACATGTAACATTCGGATTCCAAGTATCATAAATTAAGTATTTATTTTTGAGTCAAGGAGAGGGACTCGACGAGTTGACGCCTAAACTCGTCGAGTAGGATCGCGACTGCTGACTAGGATTAATGAATGGACTCGACGAGTCGGCGAGTCGACTCGACGAGTTAGCACTGTGGACAGAAACCCTAAATCTTCGGGCATGTGCCATATTTAAGGGTCCTTATGTCCCTCATTGCGGCCACACACCCACTTGAGAAACCCTATCGAACCAGAGAGCATAGAGAGTGAGGGAAGGAGCTAATTGCATCATCTTTAGTGCATTCTTGCAAGAAGAAGAGAGGGGATTCAAGCTAGGCTGATTGAGGAGCTCAGACCTACCATTACTTCACCAAAGATTGCTGATGAGGTATGAATCCATGACTATTTTTCGTGTTTAATGTAGATCTCTTGAATCTAGGGTTTCTTTACCCTTTCTTTAGTTGGAATATGGAGCATGTGAAGTCCCATTAAGAAATAGACTTTAGATCTGGACCTTGAGAGGTCCAGAGTGTCCCAACAACCAAGCTTTATGCTGTTACATGAGAATATTGAGCCTAGGGCTCCATTTTTAGAGCTATTTCTTCAAATAGAGCCATATGTGCGATGCATGAACGTAAAGTTCAGACCTTTACGTGACTTTTGGGTGTTAAAAGGTCAGATCTATAGGTTAGAGAAACAGATCTGACCTCAGAAGGTCGTTTGAGCATTCTCATGGAAGAAACTCGTCGAGTCCATGAGAGGACTCGACGAGTCGGATCGTGTTGCACCACGATTCGTGATCGGTGGTAACCCGTCGAGAGAAAGGTTAACTCGACGAGTCGAGTGAGGCCTTAGGAGGATTCAGAGGACACGCATGGACTCGCCGAGTCACCCGAGTGCACTTGACGAGTCTGGTCAAAGTTGGACCGTTGACTGGGGTTGACTTTTAGGGTTTGGTCAACATTTGGACAATGGACCATTGGAGGGGTAAAATGGTCTTTTCCCCTTCTAAGAGAATATAGAGAGGGACTAGCCTAGCCTTTGAGATCCGTATTAATTAGAGATAATTACTTTTACGTGATTAGGCGGAGGCTAGATCAGTTATTCGAATTCGAGACTTTCCGAGATTACCCGAGGTGAGTCTTCTCACTATACATTACCTAGAGTGGTAACTATGTGTAGACTGGAGGGTCTTATGTGTTATGTGTATGTTTGAGTTTATGTGCATTGTGATATATGTATGTTATGTGTTATATAGACCGGACTGGAGGGTCCTACGATTTAGACCGGACCAGAGGGTCCAACGAGCTAGACCGAACCAGAGGGTCCAACGAGCTACGAGACCGGAGGGTCCCGCTGAGACACATTGACCGGAGGGTCATACCGAGTTATAGCCTCAAGTGGCTTTTGTGTTGTATGTGGTATTTTGGGGAACTTACTAAGCATTTATGCTTACCGTGTTATTTATTATTTTTTTTTGGAAAGGGAACTTCCCTAACGAGGGTTTCCGGGCCAGCTTTCGCGCACCGACTAATCCCCCGCTGCAAACATGAGGCTTTGCCTCATGCCCTGGAGTCACTGCAGGCGAACCTCCATGGCCACAAGAGCTGAGTGGTGCCAGGATTTGAACATGGGTCAATAGGTTATCCACCATATCTTCCACATGCCTTACCAAATCACCACAACCCAAGTGGTTGCTTACCGTGTTATGTGATATGTGTTTCAGGTACCAACGAGGATCGCGGGAAGGTGCCGGCATGATTTGTACACACTAGCAGAGGATTATGTGTTGAGATTCTGGGATATGTTTTTTTGTGATGACATTTGATACATGAGATTTTAAGAATATTATATGAGTTTTATTATGTTTTGAAAAATGAAAAATTGTTTTAAAATTTACGTTGTTACAAGACCGAACCGTTTCAGGACCAACACAAGACCGGTCTCAAAAAAGAAATCCATAATTTATAAAGATGTCATTTTTGATTCAATTACATAATTTTTAATCACACATTATTCAATTTTTTTTCCTTTTTTTTCTTTTATTAAATGTTAGTGTATTATTTTAAATAGAATTTAATGTCGAGATAGACTCCATAAAAATGGGACTGTTTTGAGACCAGCCCGAAATCGGTCCGGATCCATGGATGCGCAGCTCAAGTCAAATCCGGACCAACAACGCTGATTAGTAGCCCAGGCAGCTGAGTGATCAAGCCCAAAATTATGCATCACACCATTTTCCGAGTAATTTGACAAAATTTGCCCATTATGCGGTCCAATAGCATCGTTTGGTGAATTAGAAAACCCAATGGCCCATTTGGTAGTTGAGACTTGAGAAGCGTAAAATTTCCCACCAAGTCCAAGAAGTATAGGGCGTCGCCGCTTGCCGTGGGGTATTACAGGAGCTGCCATTAACGCAGCCCCACTGCCACCTGCACCAAAAGCATTGCTGCTGCCGTCGGTTTGCCAAGAGAGTCGCTGAAAACCGCTAAGGAGCTGTCCTCTGTCACGACCACCGCGAAATCCGCCATCACGATTGTTGGGGAAGGACCGACCACCACGATAGCCAACACTGGAATTGTGATTTTGACCACCGTGAGAAACACCACAGTCCACCACCACGGAGAGGAAACCCTCGATAATGGTAACAAACCGAAGCTTCGTGACCATGCTTTTGGCAGATTTAACAAGTAACTGCCTTACCTTTTTATGAAAGTATGGATTACCGAATCAGAGTCGGGAACATCACTAATAGATTTCAACTGATCATTTAGCTGTTTGATTTTGTCACAATAAGTATTAATACTCATGGTTTCCTTTATTCATCCAAACAAATGACAATTAGGATGAAGCTAGGTTTTGCTACGATGATGATGAACTCATAGTATTATCACAAACAAAATAAGGCTTTTGTTGAACATACAAAAAAAAATTACAGATCTATAATACATTTGATCATGGGAATGATAGATTCAAGTGTTATATAAATAGCTATAAAGTCCTCAACTGACAACTGCCCCAGAATCATAGTCATCAGAGTAATATTTATGGGGCATCTGTTGTATCATCTAAATCATTTTCTATAATCCATGTTGGCATAGGTAGTTTTCCTATAGGGAGATTCTTGTTGGTCAGCATGGCAACAACTTCCTCCATTGTTGGTCTGTTTGCAACTTTTGCAATACACAGCAGTCCAATGAGGATAAATCTTGCTGTAACGCTGAAATTGGCATGAATTCTATGATCAATTATATAATGAGATTTTCCTTCCCACCAATCTTTCCAAACCTACAAAAAAATTCACATTTCTATAATTATACTCCCACTAAAAGAAGGGCGTATTAACATACTCAATATAAGTACATTTGGAATTCATTTTCATCTTTGTACTTCATACTTCATTCATTACATGCAGCCCGTTTAAATATCTCCTTAAAAAAGTTAAACACGAACATATAACATTTCTCTTTCCCATGATTGAAACCTTTGTCAGAGATCAGTAATCACTCAAAGTTACAAATGGAAAAAGGTTGCTGATGAAAATACGCCTCAAATTATACGAAGGGATTGATCTTAAAAAACCAGTATATGTTTTTTTAGAATATATAGGGCGTGAATGATATCATAGAAGTACAATTCTCAAATCATATAGACTCTGATCATCGGTTATCATACTTACAGTTTTTCTTGTGAGCCGGCGTATATTACGCCCAGTCATGGTTTCCAAAATCAAGACACCAAATTTGTACACATCAGCCTTAGTTGACACACGATTAGACTGATGTACTTCTGGTGTGATGTATAAACTGTCACATAAGGTATTAGCTTAGACCATAACTACAAATCATCCAAATTTTGATAAGAAAAAAGAGACCACAAACACACATGTATCTCGAATGTCCTACAATACATTTCTAAATGTCACCTCCATTCAATTATGTGTTGGGTTAAAAATATTTTTGCACTTATATGAACTAAAACCGAGTCATATATCCTTTTCAATGTTGAGAGTTATATGACGAATTAGTCCATTTCTGATGCTTTTAGATTTACAAACAATTAATGTTGAAGGTTATATGACAAATCAGTCCATTTTAAGAACATCTGAAAAGCTCACTCCAGAGCATGAGATAAAAACTAATGAATGGATGTGTACTTACAAGGTCTCACGTATTGGATTCACTTCGACACAATTAATCTCGTCTACCAGTAAACTTCTCACAAGCCCAAAATCTGAAATTTTGGGATCAAAACTTTCATCTAAAAGAATGATTCCAAGTGTGACATTACCATGTATGACATCATTCTGGTGTAAGTAAAGAAGTAACCTAGCAACAGCCAGTATTATTGTTTTTCGCTTATTCCAGTCCAAAAGAATACCTTCAGGATCTACAAAAACATATCGCAGAGCACATGCTTGTCAAGTTTAATCTCATCTTAGAATCTCTCATTCAAGTATGAAGTTTAGAAAAAATAAGGTAAATTGTACTGATCGCTTTCTCTTAAACTCCATCACGAGTTCTGAAGAGGATGCAATCAGCCCTATATATGTTGAACATCCATGACATAAGTATGAGATGTACGCTTGAAAAAAATAAAATTTATACCAAATAGCACGCGATCTAGACTTTCATATAGTGAAAATTCATAGACAAGGAATACTTGTGTCCCTTCAACGGAATATCCAAGCAACTGAAGCAAATTCTCATGTTCAAGTTTTACGAGTAATGCCACTAAAATTTTAAAATCTTGGAATCTGGAATCAAAATCATGTCTGGCGATTGATACTCCTTGTCCATTTTTTAGCCTTCCCTGAAAAGAGAAACTAAGTTGAAGCTTATTGCAGCCTATGGAAACCTGAATATAATGTCATTTGTTATGATACGTGACTATGTATACCTTGTACATAAACCCATCACCCCATCGTGAAATTTTATTATCCTCAGAGAAGTTCTCAGTTGCGACATTGATAGTTCCAAACTCAAACCTACGTAATATTTTGTTTCCAACTCCAATAGTATCAAAGAATAACTCCAAAGATCTTTTACTCCAACCTACAAATAAAAATATGTTAATAACGAACAAGAAAGAAACATTGTATGGTATTGTAGAATATAATATTCAACAGAACAGGTCTATCTTTTATGTTTTGTACACAAATAAGGCATATGAATGTGAAAGTAACAAAGAAACCAGAAGTGAACATAATACCAGATTTTTCACCATTGGACCAAGACAGAAGCCCTGACACCTTATTACCAAATATTCCCAAGCCTGAAGGTTGCAATGTGTGATTGGCTTTCTCCTGTAAAGCTAATATAGACTCAAGACAGAAGACAACCTCTGCCATTGTAGGTCGTTGCTTTGGATTGCTATGCAAACACCGATCTGCAATCCGTCCAAAGTCCTTCAAACATTTAGGCAAGATTCTCCCCCTTATACTATACTCAACGATTTGCTTTAGCCTTCCTTCTTTCATAGATTCTTGAGCCCAATTTACTAAACCCCAATGCTCCTCATCAAGACTACTATCCACCGCTTGTTTTCCACTCAGGACTTCAAATAGCACTACCCCAAAGGCATACACATCAGACTTTCTTGTCAGCCTACCGCTTGCATAGTAGTCTGGATCCAGGTATCCAAAAGTGCCTTTAACAAAAGTGTTAACATAAGTGGAGGGTTGATTTATGGGACCTAGTTTGGACAACCCAAAATCTGACACCTTAGCAGCCCAGCTGTCATCTAACAATATATTTGAGCTTTTCACATCGCGATGTATAATTCCATGCTTAATACCCGTACCATTGTGAAGGTAATCTAGTCCGCGAGCCGCTCCTATACATATTTTGAGTCGTCTGACCCAAGGTAAAGGACTCTGAAATTTGTGAAGATGATCTTCAAGGGTTCCATGGGGCATATATTCGTAAACAAGGATCATCTCTTGCCCATCATTGCAGTAACCAATCAAAGACACCAAGTGACAGTGCCTTAACTTAGAAAGCATTTGTACTTCATTCCAGAACTCTGCTGCTCCTTGATTGGAGGTTGAGTCTAGGCGCTTAATGGCGGCAACCAAATGAGTTTCCCCATTAGTGATGGTTCCTTTGTACACTATGCCGAACCCCCCTCGCCCGATTACCAGTGAATAATCAAAGTTTTGGGTTGCGGAGTGAATCTCGGAAATCGTAAATTGACGGCACTGATGTGGCAGCTCTAAGGACGAGGATGATTCAGCATCCATACCGGTAGGAAAGAAGACGGTAGATACGAACTAGGACTTTAACTGGAAGGGATTCTCAAATATGTGATCGTAGTTACAGATAAGCGTTAGGGACATGGCCTGAAAGCATTCTTATTCCTAGTCAAACACATACAGATCGATATTGTTTCTCCCCAAATTACTACGCAAATCAAGAATTATTTTCGCTGTTGTACCTTTCGGGAATGTGCGTCATAGGATTTTCAATGGAATTGCTCTATCATTGTTTTTAATTCGACAATTGAAAGTTGAGCATCGTCAATTGGTACTCCAGAAGACTTCGTGGATTGTGAATTGCCGCGCAAAGAGTTGACATTTTTCTTGCCGACTGCTTAGCACGTCTTCCATGGTATATTATTTTTATTTTTTAAGGGTTAATATATTATGATTTTTTCCAATTAAACTTTTATTTAATTTTATTTTTTCTGAAAAATAATTTAATTTTTTTTTTCAAAAAAAGCCAACGTTTTTTGCCAAAGAAACCCTAGTCTTTTAATTTTTTTTCCAGATAAAAACCATCAATTTTTAGTTTTTCAGAAAAAATCTCACATTTGATAAGTTTTTTCGGAAAAAAATATTAAAGCCTAAGACGACCAAATAAAAAATGGTAAAATGAAAGGTCTTTTTCATCCTTGTAATTTACTCTTTAGAGAAAGTGAAATTGTTTAATCGTTCATAGACAATTTCAAGACTTTTGATTCGTTCAGAGTTTAGGGAAATGACTTACAAGCCTACTGAAGTTCCCAAACCGTTCAAAAAAAACTGAATCATGTTTTGTCTGTTCAAAAGATTAAGTTCGTTGACATTTTTTGAACAGACAAAACATGATTAAAGTTTTTTTAACGGTTTGGAAATTTCGTTGGTCTTACAAGTCATTTTCCCGATATGGTAATAAGCCATGTCATCTGTTTCTTTTCTTTAACTTCCAGATAATTGAACAAAAGTGTAACTTAGTTGAGTTTTTTAGACAAAATGTTAAGTTCATTGGGTTTTCTTGAACATACAAAACATGATTGAGTTTTTTTGAACGGTTTGGAAACTTCGTTGAGCTCGTAAGTCACGTCTTCCATGGTATATTATTTTTATTTTTTAAGGGTTAATATATTATATTTTTTCCAATTAAACTTTTATTTTATTTTATTTTTTTCTGAAAAATAATTAAAAAAAAAAATTCAAAAAAGCCAACGTTTTTTGCCAAAGAAACACTAGTCTTTTAATTTTTTTCCGGATAAAAACCATCAATTTTTAGTTTTTCAGAAAAAATCTCACATTTGACAAGTTTTTTCGGAAAAAATTATTAAAGCCTAAAACGACCAAATAAAAAAAATGGTAAAATGAAAGGTCTTTTTCATCCGTGTAATTTACTCTTTAGAGAAAGTGAAATTGTTTAATTGTTCATAGACAATTTCAAGACTTTTGATTTGTTCAGAGTTTAGGGAAAAATGACTTACAAGCCTAACGCAGTTTCCAAACCGTTCAAAAAAAATTCAATCATGTTTTGTCTGTTCAAAAGATTAAGTTCGTTGGGATTTTTTGAACAGACAAAACATGATTGAGGTTTTTTTAACAGTTTGGAAATTTCGTTGGTCTTACAAGTCATTTTCCCGATACGGTAATAAGCCACGTCATCTGTTTCTTTTCTTTAACTTCCACATAATTGAACAAAAGTGTAACTTAGTTGAGCTTTTTAGAAAAAATATTAAGTTCATTAGGTTTTCTTGAACATACAAAACATGATTGAGTTTTTTTGAACGGTTTGGAAACTTCGTTGGGCACGTAAGTCATTTTCCCCAGCGTATATATCAAACGTACTGAACGCTAACAAGGTTAGATGTGACCTATGAATGGTTTCATTTTGAGCTTACCAAACAACTCCTAAGTTATTTTATTACAAAACAAACATACAACTTGTGAATAAAAAGCGGCAAAGTAGTGATAATATGTTTTCCCACGAGTTATCCCACTATAGGCTGAAAATTTATTTCAAACAAACATACTTTACATATAAACGATTTTAGAAGATAGCTTGCGAATAAACTCACTAAGTATTCGCAAACAACACATAATTTGGTATTTATAACCAAGTTTGGGGAAGAAGACAAAGAGGTTATATAATACAACATATGTTTTGATATTACGTATTTACCAAGGTTGTAAAAAATGTTTGACGGTAACTCGACGGTGGACTGGGGTCAAAGGATTAATCGAGGACCATTAACTATTAAGAAAAATGTTTGAAAATTAATAAATCCAACTTTAATCCAAATAATATAGTAAATAATCATAAAAGTTTAATAACAAGTTTAACAACTACAACAAATTATCATTCCGAAAGTAAGTGCAATAAGCAAGCCAGCTAAGTCGTATCCTGATCCAAGTTCAATCACTCTCTTACACCTGAATTAGTAGGTTTAGTATGCGGGTGTAATTATATATCTTCTAACTAGGAACGTCGGCGGCCTTCATTTTTCTTTTCGTTCCCTTCCACCTTCTTTATTTTCCATTTTCAATCCTATAACATTCTTCTTTTTTACTTTTGGCAATTTAAGCCCCCCGGGTTATGTTTCTATTACTACCATCCTTATACTTTATAGAATGATATTTTCAACCATTATTCAAGCGTTGGAAAATGTCAATTTCACCCCTTTTATTTTCTAAACTTTTATTTTATATAATCTGAATTTCCGACAGTTACAACCCTATGATTTTGTAACCTTTCGTATGTGTCGATATAAATTAGAGGTGGTCAACGTTTCTAAAATTGTTTCGGCATAAGTTTATAACTATAGTCCATTGATTTAATATATATATATATATATATATATATATATATATATATATATATATATATATATGTGTGTCGGTATAAATTCGAGTCCGTCTACGTTTCAACGTAACTTTTTTACCTTTTCGTGCTTATTTTTATGCACGTTTCCTACGTCTAAGTCGGGAAACATAATACGTTATTAATTATTTGAATTTCCATTAGTTTAAAAAAATCTTGGTTATTTATTTTTATATGCGTGTCACGTATAATATGGTTTTGCTTATCTTTGTTTAGCATGGCTATGGCTTTGCCCCTGACTATTGTGGTTTGTCAACTTAAATATTCCTAAGTTCCTGGTCAACATGTAACAATTTACTTTCTACTACTTCTTAAATACATTACTAGTTATAAACTAAAAGGTAATGATAATTGTAAGAAGAATCTACTACTTCTTAAATACATTACTAGGTATAAACTAAAAGGTAATGATAATTGTAAGAAGAAACTGAAGAAACCATAGACTAAACTTATAAATAAACCTGAACAAGTTGAGTTGTGATAAACAATAATAAGCAAGGACTTCCTTTGATGGCCAATAACCTGTTAGATAAGAAATTATATGCACATTAAAAGTGAAGACCTTAGTATTTATTATGGGAACTTATCTTTTGAGCGTGAAGAAAACTTACAAACAAGGCCTGTGTTGTCAATGCCATATGTGTTACATATCTTAAAATCATCAAGGTTTGCACGATTGTCCACTCTCTGACTGCATTGGATTATATAAGTTAGCAATGATCGTATATGAAGAAAAAATCTCTCTTTTTCTGTAAAGAAGTTAAACCTAAAGAAATACAACAAGAATGAGTTAAAGGAATCTTACTAAAGGATTAACTAACTGTGATTGGGCAATGTATAGCACACACAAGCTTCTGTGGCCTTTGGCAATGAAGGGGAAATCACTTCTTTATGCTCAAGCTTAGTGTTATCAACTAACTGGAAAGGTATCAAGCTGACCCCTTGATTCGCTTTTCTGAAAAAACGCTTGATACCTTTTTTCAGTTTGCTCATCTGCACAACACTTTCATAAGAGAATACGAGCTTTTCTGTAATCGCTATCATCAATTTTCTAAATCACGTCTGGGATTTCAGCATTCAATAAGCATAAGAAATCATCGGCGTTTGAATACCGTACACAATACCATTATACGAACGGAGAGCAGGAATCAAGTTAATTTTTAAACAGAAAAGGAATCTATAATCAACATCAGATCTTTCTTAACTTGCTTGGTCAAATTCATAACTTAGAATCAACTCATATCTCATTTGTAGGTCAAAATGTGTGCCAGATTTGGATCTTACCTGAACCAGTGAACGAACTAGAGGGAATTAGGGCTCGTCGAAGGATTCCCCACCCTAAAGACGATACCTTTCTACCGTTCCCATGTGCTTAGAAGCTTCAGAAGGCGATGATGTGCTTGGAAGCAGAAGAAGATGTGTGACAAAACAAGACGAATGTGCTTCGAAGCATACTGAGACGACGTGAATGGAAGAAGAAGAAGATGGCGTCGGAGGAGGAGCAGATGACGTCGGCGTTCACTTCATTCTTCCATTCGTTCCTTGAGATGAAAGAGCTAATTTCAAAAACGAAAGTTAGACTGAATGCGATGAAATGGCAAAATCGTAAGGAACCCTAGCAATTGACAAATTTTCCCTCAAAAGTTTTTCAATTTACGTTGACCAGTTGACCGATAAGAGCGCCTAGACCCGATTATCTCCGCCTTTGACTGGCTTTGACCTCGTCCAATTATAGAGGCCAATTAGCTATAAACTTTATCGGGGAAGGACCGCCAAGCGCCTAGGCGCCGATTAATCAGTCGCCTAGACCGATATTTGCAACACTGGTTTTTACTGAAGAAATAATATTTTCGTCAACAATGTTTATAGAAGAAGTAAATTATGAAACCTTATGGTGGCCTAGCCTTATCAATAGTTAACAAGAGTTGATGGATAAATGTCCACCAACCAAATGTTGAGGTTTCAAGCCTCGTTTGGGACGGAAAATGTAGATTTAGGAGTAGAGTAGCGTTTTTATGAGTTAGTTGTTCTTAAAAACTCAAATGATGCAAACAAATATTGTGATTTAGGATATGCTTGGAGGATTAGCTAAAAAGCTGATAAACCTGATGTTTGGTAAAAACCAGTTAATAAGTTGGCTAAAATATGTAAAATAACATAAAATAGAATATAGAAATTAAGTTTTTTTGGAACTAATAAAGAGTATATTTAAGAGTATTTTACAAAATCTTAATAAGCTTGTTGAAACACTTTATGGGTACCCATTTTAAAGAAAAATATATTATAAGCTAATTTTTAGTTTGTCAAAGATGACAATCTAAAAAAATTCAAAAAAAATAAACTAATGTATAAAATAATTGTGACCTATAAACATAACATATATCATGGACTATATTTAAATAAGTTGTTAAACTATCTATTGAATGTGGGAAAGCCTCTCTCTCTCTCTCTCTCTCTCTATATATATATATATATATATATATATATATATATATATATATATATATATATATATATATATATATATATATATATATATATTAATTGATTTCCGCATATAGTAAAAAAATTAGGATCATGATTAGAGGAGTTGGTCTGGACTATCCTTTGTATTTGGCCCTGACTCAATTTTGTTTACCGTAGATAGTAGAAAAAAATAGGCCCTTAAAACAATTAGGCCTTGTGCATATATCTAAAGTTCACTAATTCTAATTCTCTCTTGAATATGATCGATTTCCTTATGATAATTCAACGTTCTTGTGAAGCGATTCAAACAGGATATTTGTCTCATTTTTATTGCTCGCTAGCTTTCATTATATTTGAGCATTGCTTCATGTTGTCCTTGTTTGTAAATTGTTGGTTTTAGATTGTCCCCAATTAAATATTAAATAAATACTAAATAGCGTAATAATTCCATGGTTTTAATTAAATTGGTTTCTACATACCTTTTGTGTTATAAGTAATGTATTTACTTCAAGTGACTTGTGTTATTATCTCTTGCGAAAAAGCATGTCAAATAACTTAAAAACAAACAGGAAGTACAGAACAACTCGATAAGATGGTGGTGGCGGCAGTGGTGTCGTTGATGGCGACGGTGGTGGTGGTTGTGGTAGTGGCAGTGGCAGTGGGGTGGTGACGGTGGTGGTGGTTATGGCAGTGGCAACGGGTTGGTGACGGTGGTGGTGATGACAGACGGTGGTGGTGGCGGCGACAATAGTGGCAGTGGTGGTGATGGCGACGGTGGTGGTGCTGGTGATGGGGGTAGTGGTGATGGTAGGTCGGTGATTGTGGTAGTGATGTTGTAACACCCGGTTCCTGGTACGTAGTTAAATTCAAGTAAGTTTATGTTTTGCTCTGGGACTCGGCGAGTTGGAGGCCCAACTCGTCGAGTAGACTCGATATTTACCCCGAAGTTTAATGATCTACTCGACGAGTCAGGAGACCGACTCGACGAGTAGAAGCTGTATGGATGAAACCCTAATATTTGGGGTTTGCACCCTATTTAAACAACTTATAACGCCCCAACACATCCTCCATTGTTCCTCCCAACCCAGAGAAAGCCCTAACTCGAACCCTAAGCCTCTTTTGAGCTTTTTGGTGACTTTTGTGTGCATTTGAAGTTGGAAGAGAAGGAGGAAGCTTGGGAGTTCAAGTGGAAGCTTGTGGGTTAAGAGGTTTTGCTTCATTCTCAGTTCATTCAAGGTAAAAAGCTTGAACCTTGACCATTTATCTCTTAGATCTTGTTTTGGGGCTATTTTCTACCCCTTTTTATGAGTTGTGAAGTTATAGTCGGATTTTGTGAGTGTGTTTGGAGTTACACTTCAGATCTAAAACCATTGAGGGTTCCCATGGCATAAAGGTGCCAACTTTATGGCCATGGGACACCCATGCTTCTTATATACCTCTTTTTATGGATTTTGAGCCAAAAACCCCCATGCATGGACGTCAAGATTGGAACTTTACGTATAAAATGGACCCTAGGAGGTCATATCTATGGCTTGATGCATTAAGACCCATTATAATCGACTGAATAGTTTTGGACAAAGAGGGACTCGGCGAGTCGCTTGGGTAACTCGGCGAGTCGGTCGCGTTTTCCCCCAAATGTTTTCTGGAAATGGCCTTTGATTGAGTGGAAGGAACATTCAGCCTGTTAGGGGTCTGTGATGGACTTGAAGATCAAAGGACTCGACGAGTTCAAGAAGAAACTCGGTGAGTTCAAGGCAATGTCTCAACTGCATGAAGACGGACTCGACGAGTTCAAGTAAGAACTCGGCGAGTCATAGATTGAACACCTTCATATGGATGAAGATGAACTCGACGAGTTCAAGGACGAACTCGGCGAGTCGGTTGAAGATAGTCTAATGTGTTGTTGAAGGCGAACTCGTCGAGCTCTTGCTAGACTCGACGAGTAGGGACGGGATTGTGGCATTTTGTGGACGTGGGGACTCGACGAGTTGGTGGACCAACTCGGCGAGTCTGGTCAACCAGATGTTGACTTTGACCAAAAGTTGACTTTGACCAGGGTTTTGACTTTGGCTTTGACTTGGACTTGAGTGACCCTTGTAAGGGTCATGAGTATGAATTGATAATTTAGGAGTCGAGGAGAGTCGATTTTCACGCCAAGGACAGTGCAGATACTACACGACATTGAGGTGAGTTACCTTCCAGTAGAAGTGGGTCAAAGGCACCAAGGCTGACCCACTAGTAGTTGATTACAGTTAAGATGATTGTCTTTGTGATAATTGTCTGGTTTGTTATTGCTTGATGTGTTCTATGTGCCAGTATGATATGTTCTATGTGATAGTGGTAGTAGGGGGGATAGTCCCCCGATTCGGTCGTTAGGGCCGAAGGATAGGTCGAACACCCTAGATATGTTTGACAACATGATTATGATATGTCATTATGTGGTAGTAGTAGTATGGGTGAAATAGTCCCCCCGTGACCGGGTGAGATAGACCGGAGGGTAGGCAGGCACCCCAGAATGGCCTGACACGGGTAGGTCAGCACCCCATAATGACTTGACATGGGTAGGTCAGCACCCGAGAATGGCTTGACATGGGTAGGTTGGGCACCCCAGAATTGCCCGGCAGTATGTATGTTGTATGGTATGTGGTATGATGGGGGAACTCACTCAGCTTCGTGCTTACAGTTTTTAGTTTTGGGTTTCAGGTACCTCTTCAGCTAAGGGAAGGAGCCGGCAAGGTAGCAACGCATCGCACACACATGATTTCCGCTTGAGAACCCTGGGATTGTACTCTGATGTTTTACTATTTGATGTTATGGTTTTTGAGACTTGTGATTTGTGACTTGATGTTTTGAAATGATAATAATGATGTTTTCCGTAAACTATTTTTGTAAGTAATATAATTAAACAAAAAATTCTGGGTCTCAATTTTGGGATGTTACAAGTTGGTATCAGAGCCTTGATTTGAGGGATTCGGGCACACCTTCGGGGGTGTCTGGACTCAAATCGAGGGCTTGGAAGATTTTTACAAGAAAAATAGTTTTCTAGAATTTAAAATAATGAGTTTTGAGAAAGAACAAGGTGTGTGATGCGTGCGACCCGGCCGAGTTCAAGTAAGTTTTCCCCAAGATACCCATACATGATATGTTATGTTATATGATATGATTATGAGAACTGCATGCTAGACTAGGGCTAAGGATCTTATATGCCTATTTTATGAGCTTATGGAGCTATATGCTAGGGCTGGTTAGTCAGCAGTATGATGGCCTGATTAGGTTATGCTTGGTTATGGTTACTCGATGCACGAATGGTGCTTGCTTTGTGCTTATAGGGGTTCTAGCTAGCTTTAACTAACTAGTAAGCGGACATGTAATAGTATTCGCAAGCTAGTTAGGGAAGGATGGTAGGGACTCCTTGTGCAGCTGATGGCAGAGAGTATGTCGGAGAGTGGCCTAGGACAAGCCTAGGATGAGGTTAGTTTGGAAAGCAGTATTAGTAAAAGGGACTTGGTGAAGTCGAAGCAATCCTTGAGAAAAGTATGGATATATGTGGAAGGTAGTATGGGCTCGTACTACTGGAAGCAGTGGATCCATACTCGAATCAAGGAGGGCTAAGATGGAACCAAGGAACTTGGAGAGTGTGTGAGACCTCTCGAGAGTATGTATGACCCTGATGTTTATGTCAGGATGGTGGTTACGCGTCATGGAGCAGGAGGTTCAGGGTCTGGATCAGGATCAGGATCAGACTCGGGTGCGGGATCCGAGCAGGTTGATGACGGGCTACGCGAGTTCATCGCGTCTGAGATCACGAGAGGTACCCTTGAGTCGACCCCGATCATTTTCGGGTCGATCAAGGAAGGGATTGTTGAGCTGATGGAGGATCGCCTCCGGGCATTCAGTAGTGACTTGGCGTCCAGCCAGTCAGGGAAGCACACACTGTCCTTCAAGGACTTCAGGGGGGAGTGGTGCGCCAGACTTTCACAGGGTGAA